CATGCAGTTGCAAACATGAAATGTTATAATAGTCTCTGAAGGTTTCTACACAGTAGTTGCATTTCCCTCTTGTTTCCCTCTGCATTAGCGAACCGTAAAGGCACCACATGCAGCTTTGCGGACCCGGCCTTCGTGGTGTATTCATCGGTGGCGTCCTTCTACGTTCCTTTCATCGTAACTCTGCTGGTGTACGCGCAGATTTGCGTGGTGCTGCGCAAACGAGGCAGACGCACCGCACCGCCGCGACGACACGGTCTGCTCACACAAGGCGAGGCCGAGGCGGGAGAAGGACAGCGACACCGGAAGGTAGGGCTTACCATTTATAATGAAAATAACCGTCTTCTGAGGACTCTTTCCTTCCTCTTCCTTAGAAAACACTTTGGCATGTGTTAAAAAGTTGAGGTGAAGTTTAAAACTTCCAACTTTATCTGTTTAGAAATTCCATTTTGAATTCATGTCTGCTCTGCATTCATGTCATATTTATAACCACTGATGACCTCGGCTTCCTCTGACATACGCAGCATCCACATTTCCACTGGAGGCATTTTTTTCGCTGCTCAACATCAGTCAACAACTCATAGAGTAACTGAAACAAAAGGACACAAGCAAGTTAGAAATTCTTTTTGACTAAACAGTAAACAAACCAAGGCCGCTGTTCGGCAGCTCAGGAGCAGTGTTACGTTTGAATGGCATGTTTTTGGGTGTTTTTAACTCATCACCAGAGATGGCAGAAGCACTCACATTCTTTACTTAAGTAGAAGTAGAGATACGAACCCTAACCCTGTAAAAAATAGACTCTGGTACAAGTAGAAGTACTGATTCAACTCTTTTACTCAAGTAAAAGTGAAAAAAATACAGGTTCAGAAATTTACTGAAGTACAAAAATCAAAATGAATTTTTAGCTTCGATGATACACGATGCCTCTTTTGATAACTCTGCAAAACGAAAAAAGTTTTAAGCACACAAAATAGGATTGTTTTCATCCTTTAAGAAGCTGCACAGTGCTGCTACAGAGA